GCTTATGAATTTCTACTTCTCTATTATTTTCATGTTCTTATCTCTGCTGGTGACACACGTGTTTTCACACAATACTCTCATTTTTGCTAAGATCAAGATTCATGAATGTTTATGAAATCATGCTCCAGCTACTTTGTGGTGGCTATACTGGATATCATCCTATAAATACTTTATCTCACTGAAGGGTATCATGGGCGCAGTTTCTCATACGATCTCCGGTATCGCTCAGGAAATTTCCGTGGAAGAGAAAGCTTTTTGTTCATGAGATGTAGAATCGTCTGACGAATCAGGCACAAAAAGTCTTGTATAGCAGACCAAGCAAAATGGTTATGAGGACGAAAGTCCTTCACAATCATGAAATCTGGCATTTTTGTGAAGTCTTACAGGATAGAAACTGCGAGGTTGGATTCAACGACTTACATGGCAACCGTCAGGGTAAAGCAGTTCTGTATCAACAATTCATTTGTTCATCTTTTTTCATCTAAGGTCCGCTAACATCCACTCCCATTGCTTCGAAAGGCCGCAGTACCTTCGAGAAATTTCTTGGTACCAACTGCGTTACGGTATTGTTTTAGTTCACTTTAATTAACATTGATCTTACAATCATTTAGGACAAACCATCTGTTGTCAACAAAGTCAGCAATGATGTGCAAATGAATGACAGCTATGTGCGGCCGCAGCAGAAGAAATCAGCTGTCACCACAGTGCCAGAGTCTTCCTTTGCAGTAGTTGGCAGATCAGTCGTAGATGGTTTAAAAGCTGTCAACAGAGAGTCGTTCCATGTCGATTTTGAAGAGGATGATCATGGAGAGAATTTGTGCGAGCAACCTGCGGAATACGTTGACGATCAAGTTTCTGACGCAGAACGAGTGGAAGTCGTTCCTCAGCTTCCCAGGGTAGAACCGAACATAGTGGTGAACATGAATTCACCAGAAGTGATAATCAAGCGTGAAGAAGAGAATCCGAAAGTCGAGGTAAGCACTATCAAGTCTACAGTGTCACTACGTAAAAATTTCTTCTTAGAAACTTCCTCCTATGCTGCTGAAGGGTACAAAGGTCGCAACTAAATCCGCTGACCTTTGCGCTAAGCGCAAACGAGTGCACCAGAATTCTCTCGGGTCGACCGATGAAGAGAAACATGGTGGAGTAGTTCAAAGTGAAGAAGTAAGCTTTCATGGTTCTTATCTTTCGATCACTTGCAATGTCTATCAAAATTTTATCAGCTTTTGCTTCCGACTAGTCCTTCATTAAAGGCAGTGTCCGGGCAAAAACTCGATTTTG